GGTTATCACATGGAAAAGTGTTACAACATGTCTTTGAATTACATGAGAAAAATCATGATTTTCTTCCTTGAGAAAATAAGCCCTGAAGGTTACATATGAAATGTGGACTCCTAGACTTGTTAGCTTACCTGGTGGACATTTGGCAAACCTAACATGTCAAAGTAGGAATATTCACATCTTAAAGTTATCAATGAGAAAAATTAGAGGATTAATAAAGAAACTGTGTTTCTGTGACAAGAAACAAGTTACTCCAAATGTTTTCAGTGTTACCAGACTTGTTATAAAGATCAAGGTGAAAGTCTTAAAAATTCTATTACAGGCCAAATATTTATTAATGTGTTTGGATTGTGTTCCCATTTTGTTCATTATTTTCCTGAAGTTGAACATGAACCATCAGAGGTCAATTGGATTTGAAAACCATAGTAGCAGCAGCTAATTCCATTTCAAACTCAAGTATCTTGGCTGAAGAAAATTTTAGAATTGCCAAACGCTAATACACCGAAAACTAAGTTTTCAAATTTAACAAACCAGGAGTTCTAGATTTACGTTAAAGGAAAGTAAAAACACCACAGTGATAAGGCAATGAAAGTGCTGCTTCCTTCACTTCAGTTATCTCAGAGTCTCTTATTTTCAGCAACAATTTCTGTGAAAGTGAAACTCAGAAATCATTTAAACTTGAAAAATGATTTGATGTCTAGCATCATTAGAGATTCAACTAAACATTTCTCTACTATGCAGTTTCAGACAGGCCTGTTCTCACTAAAAAAAAAATCTTAGGCTGTGTCTGAACATGCCAAACAATTCATATTTTCAAATTACAGTTTTAGAAACATGGATTAGATTAGATAATATAAATTGTACATAGTTAAATAAAGTTGCAAAATCATCAAAACTCTAATGTCCCACTCAAATCTATTGTCCTGAACACCTGAATTTAACATTCACTCCATTAAACAGCATTTAGTTCTCAGGAGCCATCAACTTTTAAATATCTATAAAGGAGCTGTGGTAACTAAAATATTTGGGAACCATGGAGCTAGTGGGCCAGTTCTGGTGAATGAATTGCCATGCAGGCTCCCTCCCCCCCCCTCCCTCCCCCCCAGTTACAGAGGTTGGTGGGTTTCTTGCTCAGAACTGCGAGTTAGCTCTGGTACAGGAATCCCTGATGTCCCATGGGGTGTAACACAGAGCCCCGGTTGGGACCCCTGCTTTCAATCCTCATTAGTTTGAAGAGTCGACTTCTGCTTGAACTTGACCTGCAGTGACCCTTAACATGGAAAAACCAGTGACCGAGTACTTCAAGATGTTTGTCTGGGATATGAAAGGCTGACTCATTCCTTTGCATTTACAGGCAGTCCCCGACTTACGCGGATCCGACTTATGTCGGATCCGCACTTACAAACGGGGCTCTCTCGCCCCGGAGGTCGAGGTGGCGGATTGCTACCTGCGAGCTCC